AGGAGGTCGAGGTCTTTGAAAACCCAGTTCCTACTTCCATCACACATCTTAGAAAATATTAAAAAGCTAATGGACATTGCTGCAGCATCAGGGATCAAAATGTACTGCTCACTGGCTTTGGCTTAAATCAGTAGTTCAAACATGCAAGAAATCATAGAATTAAAGACAAAGCCCCCGAGTGCTAAACTATCAATGTGTAACAGGCCAGGACCCCGGATTTCATACCATGTGCCAACGTGTCTCTAACCCCAGACCCTGCTGGGGGGCAGTGATGGTCTTGCTGGGGGACTGCGGGGAAAAAAAGAAAACCCCAACCAACCCAAACAAGCCAGCAAACAAAACTACCTGGCTTGTTTTTTCCATCTCAGAGACACATACTTATCCCTCAAAGCTTCTGCCTGGGAGAACATTCCCAAATCACTCGAAGATGCCTGCCCATCCTTTCCTACTGGTTGCCATGGTGAGAGATGACGGAGCCCCAGACGGGTATAATACAGGCAGTGCGCGGGGAAGGGATTTAGCAGAGGCAAGCGGTGGGAAGAGGGGAAGGCGCTGCCCACCCATAGCCACGCTGCTCACCAGCACTGAGGGGCCACCGAGGGGCCACCGCGGACCTGCCCGGGGAGGTAAGCGGCTGCCCGCGGCTCTGGGAGGGCTCAGCGATGGGTGCGTGTGCTGTTCTGCTCTTCATGTAAGGATGGCTAAACCAGTCGTTAAGACGAGCTGATTCTTGAGTGAATTAAAGGAAAGTTAGTACAGTAAAAGAGAGATGAAGAAGGAAAAAAAGAAACTGGTTCTATTGCATGCAGCTCTTGCTCAGAGCATTTGGCTAGCTGGGAGAGATAACCCTGCAACGAGGCTCAGAGCGCACTTTGGGGATCTAAAGGAGTGATGTACTGAAGTGATTTGTGGCTGTTGCTGAACAGTAATTTGTTAGTGGTCAGTGTCTTTTGTCTGGGGGAGAGCTTTGCACTTATTCATATATTTATATTTCCCAAACAGCACTGATTTTATATTTCACCAACCTTCAGATTTCACATTTAAGATCCTGATATTACAGTGTGAGATGCTGCAGCAACAGAAAGAGTTTATACTCTACTAAGCAACAAGTAAGGTACAGAAAATGCAGCAACAACTTAAACCTGTGACTTAATCATTATGCAGCTTTTAAAAATGGCATTTAGGTGTAAAATCAAAATATCTATCGGCAGCTTCACAAGGCAAGTTGGAGCTAGTTTAATGATCGGTTTATGTTAATCACACTTGCAGTATCCTTTCTATTCCATGGGAAACAAAAAAGCTAAAAAAGCTTCCTATATAGACAACTAGTCTAGAAAGAACAGATTTTTAAAAAATCTAACTAGAGCATAAAGTATGCCCTATGTCCCAGTTGGTTTTTTTGGTTATGAAGCAGGGTGATACAGTAGTCTGGGCACCAGCAGGATTCATCTTTTGTAATTTTAGCCATCTAAGACCTAGCATCTAATCTAAGATAGCCAGGCACAGTCCTGAGTCCAATCTAAGTGCCAGTAAAGCCGGTGGAAAGACTTCACTGATGTCAGTGGCCTTTGAGCCTGTACACAAATCGGGAAACTCAGCCTCTTCCTGCATCTGGTTTCAGGAGCACGATGAACATCGAAGTGCACAACATCACTTACACCAGTGCCACCATCTCCTGGGCCATGAACAACCCCTGTCCAGAGAACTACTACCACATCATGTACCGCCCCAACTGGAACAGCGTCTTCGCTGGCTATTTACGCCAAAACTTCCACCGTGAGGAGCGAGTCCCTCACCCCCTCAGCTCCCTCGTCCTCCACCAACTCACACCATCCACCATCTACGTCCTCTGCATCACGTGCAAGAACTCGTACCCCTCGGGCAACCACTGCACCACCTTCCACACTCTGGACAAAACCCCCCTGGTTTTTGGCGGCTCTAAGCACGAACCTACCACCTCCATGTGGATGGTGAGCAGCCTGCTGCTCCTGTGCTTCATTGCTCTCCTGGCCTACGGCTGCCTGCAGTTCTGGTCTGCACGGTGCAATTGGGCTGCGAGGCTGAAGCATCCCAACACCAGCCCTGAAGAAGTGGGTGAAGGGAGCAGCTCGCCGGAGGGGCCACTGAACGACAGACTGGGAGAGGAGCTTCTGGAAGTCCCTATGACCACTGTGCTAATGAGGAGCTCCAGTTTCATCAGGGAGAGTCCGTACAGCTCCCCCCACTGCTTTTTTCCCTATAAAAAAAGCGATGATAAAAGGGCCATCTTGCCACAGCACGGCCTTCAATGAGAGCAAAATAAAGGGAGATCCTGCTTAGAGGTTTGGTTCGTGCTGCTCTTTCCCAGCTCTTGCCAACAGGACTGTTTATGTGTCCACAGGGGTTGTTTGTCCCAGGGTAGAACGTGAGGCGGGGACATTGGTGGCAGGGAGAAAGATTTTTGTCAAGTGACAAAAATATTCTCATTTGCTGATGTTTTTTTAAAAAGAAACCAAGTCAGCTCTCTGGGAACGGCCAGGCTCGGCTGACTGTAGTCATTAGCTAATCTGCATCAGTGCTGTAGGTTCACTTCAGAGTCATCAATCAACATGCACAAAAAATAAACTCCACTCAAGTAGTTTCACACTTGAGTGATCCTCCACTAGCATCACACCCCAAGCTCTCATAATGCCTGTATAAACAGTCATCGCAGCCTGACAAAAGAGCTTTTTGTCAGTATTAAGTAGTCTATATTTGCACACACAAGTATTTTAGGAATTCCCATTTTGAACTACAAATGGGATTCCTGAAGTGATGCCTTCCTTGGGGAGGAGCACTGCTTTGGAGCTCCAGCTTGCTTTCCTCTCTGTGCATTTAGATGGATGTGACTTGGTGTCAGTGCCAACACCAAGCACAGAGCAGTGTCAGCATCCCCTAACATAGGCATGCTATGGAGAAGAATATGGGAAAGCAATAGCAAAAGCACACTGGATCTGCTTCTTGCATGGCTTTTTGGTTTTACCCTGCACATTTGCACCCGCCGTTCTGTTAATGACCTAGTTCTTGCATTTCTTTCTGCCTAAATAAATATGTCCAACATCCACCCCTTCTGGCTGTTGTGGCTCATTTACTGACCTTGGATCCGTAGAGGTAATACGGCTGAACATTGGCTGGCTTGTCCCGCTGGGGTTCCTGCGTGAAGGGAATTGCTGTCCTCACAAACCTGTGGTGGGCATGGGAGACGGGGAGGAAAGCGGTCAGAGCCCGGTTAATTGTGCTGAGTGAGATATGGCACGGTCTGGGACGAACTGCAGTTGCAGACTAATTATCAATTCATCACCTGAGCAACATGAACTGGAATGCAAACTCCTGCCCCAGTCTATGGGTGGTGTGAACCATGTCAGTTTAACCTACCAAAGGTGGGGTTTCTTCTCATTTGGGGCAGGCAAGAAACCCATATAGGAGTAGCTATGCCGCTCAGTAAACCAACCCTCTAAACCAAACTAGCTCAGTTGCTTGCAATCACTGTCCAACTTTGTTGCACGAATTTGTTACTAACATTTTCAAGGCCAATAGGAGCTGGTGGGCTTTAACTTCATTTTAACTGCAACTCTCGCATCCCTTAGGGAATGCAAACCTCCCCACCATGCATGTGAATTTTATGGCAGGTTTGACATTTTGGAAAGAAAAGAAAGATCTCCAGGTGCCCTCTGCATTGTTTTTTCTCCTCACCTGTTGGTGGATCCATTGTAGCAGTAGTTGGGTAGAAAGTCAAAGTTGAGCTCCCAGAAGACGTGGAGGGTGATGCGCCCATAGGGCGCGGAGACGTTGTGGTTGGCCTCCCGGAACATGGCATCAAAGCTGTCCAACGTCATGTGCTTGCACAGTAACCTGTGAGTCAGGCGATTTATTTCCAAGAGCCACTCCAGTTCCTGCAGCACGTAAAGCAGTAGCAAATGCAACATATTACCAAGATGACAATAGAAACTGCTGATTTAATTGCCAAGGGAATGATTTTATATCCACACCCACACAGAATTTTCCAGGTGAGGATGTAGCAAATGCTAAAGATATCAATTTAACTCAGTGGCTGAGGGCAATTGCACTTCTACTCAAGGGGTCCTGGTCCAGTATCTCCTAAACCTGCAGGAAGCAAAATTAATTTGTTCCCCACTGAGCACTGGGTGACTTTCACATCAGAATCCTTCAAAGGTGGAAACCGGTGATTTTACACTACTTGACTCTGATGCTCCTGTAATGTACCAAAGGCAGCAAATCCTGTACGCACACAAACAACATCTCAGCCACCTTCAGCCAACAGGGAGAATTAAAGTCAAGATTTCCTTCTCCCAGACCACAGGACTCTCTTATATGAGCTCTGCAAAATCTAACTGCTGACTCTCACCTTATGATTTATGCGGATACTTAATGGTCCAATGATAATGCAATTAAAGCTGCATAAATAGAAATAGTAGACTCAGCAGCATAAAGGAGGATACATGGCTGGCTGAAACCTACTGTAGGTGGGACTTGAAGCAGAAGACAGTTGACTGTGTACCCATAGCAGTGTATTATTCTTTCTATTCATACCCGCAGTCAGTAACAGTTCTTACCACTATGGATGTCAGGTCCTCGCTCTCAAAGCGGCTAATGGCCTGGTCTAACGACTTGTACATCGCTGCTGAGATACGCTGGGTAATGAGCCTGTTCAGGTCAATTGATCTACCCAGCAACTGGGAAAAGAAGAGATGATATTTGCATGTTATATACAGATGGGGAAAAGGTATATATTTTTTTTAACAGACACAAATTAAAACCAAACATCCGAGTCTGCTTAAATGTAAAAGTGGTTATGTAAACACCTCTGTTGAGTTTCCCGTTACTTAAGAGGGAGGGAGAGAAATGTGGAGCATGACTCCTTTTCCCCTCAAGCCTCATGCCCTGAGGGCAGTGTGTCAGAAATGGGTTCAACCCTTCTCCTTCCAACACCCACCTCAATTGAGCCCAGCACTAAGATGCCAACCACCAACAAAAGGATAATAGACCAAGAGCTATGAGTACTGGAGTCTACTGCTTGCACTGTACCTGGACATGCCTCTGCTTGAGCAGTGTTTCGTAGCGGTTGGATGGTGGGTATGGAATAATCACCCCATAATTCTTACATTCAGCCCGGAAACGTTTGTCCAATAAAACACTGAAAAAAGGAGGCAGTGTCAGGAAAAAAGAAACACGCTATCAGCTTCTCTCTGGATCTTTTTCATAGTTGTTTTCATCCTTCTTTTCATCTTGCTCTGAACGCCAAGACATTTCCACACACTAATAACTCGGCTTACATCACTAAATCACAGATCAGTGGTTGTTCTGCCATGCTGTTGTCCGTCATTCTTGGCTTTTATGGCTAAAATATTCAAAAAGATAAAAGATTGTGCTGAAAGATATCACTAGCGCCAGGTACTGGGGTTGTCCCACAGGTGTGCTCCCTCCTTGAAGATCTGCTGTGGGAACATTTGGTTGGTGATGGCGATCGCTCTCGTTCTCTAAGGCCAAATGTGATCTAGAGACAAAACTCCTTGCAGAGTTACACTGAAGACTTGGTTCACCTTTGGGGACATGAGAGGAGGACTCTCACTAGAGTTCATCCATGTTCTTTCACTTGGTAAGAAGAAAATGTCACAAAGGGCTTATTTCCCTGCAAGGGAGCAAGCAATTCTGCAGAAGTCCTACAGTCAGCTGGTCTGATGTGTGACATAGGATACTGAGTACCCTTCCAGCTTCTACAAGTCCTGCTGCTTTCCTAACGTGAGGACAAGTGCACACTCCTGTTTTGTACAGATGGGAGGCTTCCACTCATCTGCCTGGTACGCAAACAGAAGTCAAGCAAGGACATGTCTTCAACAGGCTCGGTTTGCTTTTCTGCTGCTCTCACATATTGTACTCAGCTACTTAGGATGCCAATTACTATTTTTTCACTTTTAAGCATGTCTCCTTGCCACCATTAATTCATTTTCCCCATCTACACTGGTCTGACATGGACAGCCAGCTTTGTGGGATAGGGATGATCTATTTTGTTATGTCTACTTGCAGTGGCTACTCCCTGAGGGGAATCTTTTGGTTGACAGCAATTTGGATGCAGTGATATCATCAGTCATCATCAGCAGTCAGGTTCTCCTACCTGCCAGCCATTGCTTTATAATAGGCAAAGATCTGATCTGCCAGCTTGTACACAAATTGATCAAAGCACAAATTCACCTGGGGGAGAAAAAAACAAGACATCATGGGGGTGTCACAAGCACAGAGCAGCTCCTTCCTACGCATGCAAGATCAATACAACTCAACAGAGAGCTCTAATTTAATACATACACGTATATCATACTATCTAAAAAACACACTGCAGTTCTCACATGCTAAAGGCAAGCAGAAAATTGCAGTTACATTTCTCTCTTATAATTTCTACATATTCTTACAGGTTCTGGTCCCCCATCCTCAATCATCCTTCCCTCTCAGGGATCTCCAGTTTCTCGTTTTCCTCTGATGTCTCATAACCCTCTGCCCATCAGACAGACTTTCTATGCCCCCAGTGTTTGACAGCCTTTGCCTTCCACGGTTCCCTGTGGGTACAACTAAGCTGAAGCCCTTAATCAACAGAGTCTGTAAGCTCTCTGGAAATTTTGATCTTTTGAAAACTTCTCGGTCTGATGGAGTATTTATTTCAGGAGATCCCTATAATGAATTCACTGAACTACTGGATGGGTCTGTCAGACAGGGCAATGTGACTCTAGTGAGCTCTTTCCATACAATAGAGATGAAAAGAACTTACTTCAGCTTCAATTTCATCGTATAGGAACTGTTTTTTGAACTTGGTCAAGGCATAGTATGCGCTGTCATTATAGAGGTCCAAGGGGTACAGTACGTACCTGAGGGCAAGAAGACAGATCATGTCTTAAATTAACTTTGGAGCATATCAGCATAAATGGCAGCCAATATATGTGCCCTGCTCGGTGCAAAAAATGGCTTTTCTCTGACTTCACTCCTATCGCTTCCACTCCTTCCAGCCCACCAGATACTCCCTCTCACTCTTTGTGTGCTGCTGAAAGCTGCTACAATAGATCTGGATTTGAGCTAAGTGTGACTTGCTCAATCAACACATGCTCATTCTCTGCCCTGAAAAAAGCTTTCATCCTGTCCTCACTCCACAGAGTGCTCTGACAATGGCTGTAAAATGGAAAACAAAGTTTTCCTAATGAGGAAGATACTATGAACATAATTACACTTGCGTAACAGCAATTCCTCTCATTATTTATCACATGTATTAAAAAAAAAGGGTGTAGGTGCCTTAGTCAGGGCCCACATCCCTTTGGTTGCACATGCTGTCTGACTGCTGCATGCAGATGACAGTACCACCAAGTTGTGCCTACATCTGAATACAGCAGTTGCCAACTGCTGGTTTATGACGCATAAGTAAGTGCCAGCGCCGGGAAGCTGCCCATGTGCGTCTGCTAATGAGGTATTCATACAGCACACATTCATGTGAAAGCAAGTCAAGAAACATCTATTTTCCCTCCCACATCAAAAAGACACTTCATCACCAGCCTACCCGTCTCCAAAACAAAATCCCAAGCCCTCACGCATACACAGTCCCAAGACAGCCCATCGGCTCTTACTCCATCATGGAGGGTTCTTTGGTTTCCAGAATATGGTCCGTGAGGATCCAGGGCATGGACATTTCGATGGGGAACTGGATGCGGCGGCCCATGGTCAGCTCCAGGAAGAATTCCCGGAACCAGAGCTGGGACAGGTCGCAGCACTGCTGCAGCGCTTCTGAAATGCAGAGGAGATCCCCCCATGTTACCCCCCCAGGGACGACAGCGAGGGAAGTGCACAGGAGGCAGCTGCTGCAGCCTCATATTGGACTAGTTTTGGTATGGAACATTTTTCTGGGATGTCTCTGTTTTTAAACCCAGATCATGTCCATACTGTCTGAGCACGTTGTAATGGAAGAAGAAGGAAGGAATCGTTCCTTTTGCTCTACAACTCCAGGGAGAGCATTTCAATGGCTCAGAGTTACTCTGGAAGATTTATTCCATGCCTAGTGGCTCAGAAGTTTGTCTGGGACAGAAAGAAAACTCCAGTCCTACAAAATAAACTACCACCCATGGCTATTTGCTATTGCTGACTCATTCCTGTTCACATAAGGATTACCACCTAGAAACATGGCTGAATAAGGCAGAAGTGGGACGTTTGGGAAAAATCAAGGAAAATCTTCCGCATAGGTCAGTGAGGAGCAAAGCTGATCTACCTTTGCTTTTCTGAGCATGCAAGAGTTGGATTCAAGCCTCCCCCTGCCATAACCTCACCACTGATGTTGAGAAGGTGGGTGAAGAAGAAGGACTGCTTGTGGAATTCTTCAATGGCCAGGACTATCGGCCCATCCAAGCTGCTCCTCAGAGTCTTCTTTGAGCCACTCTTGTCTGCTATGAGGGACTCCAGCATGGTCCGCACCATGTACAGCTTGGGAAGAAAGTTGACATGCTGTTACCATTCTGCAGTGAGACACGACCACACACAGCCATGGTGCTCTGCAACAACAAATAACACTTCTCCCAGGTGGCTGCTACTCTCTACACACATAAGCCACTATCTTTCTGAGTGAGAAATAATTACACCCCTAAAAAAGGAGGCTTTGGGAACTATACAACAAATTAGGCATCAAAGCAATATTTAACACACAACAGGGTGAAGGCTTTGTGGAACAGACCATGGAAACAGCTGCTAATCCACAGAGTGGGAGACTCCTACATGGCTGTAAGATCATTAACTCCCTACACAGGAGATGGACATCTACATACCTGCGTACTTGATGGTCCTACTGCTCGTCGTGGGACTTTAATATCAAATCCACCTTTAGGATCCTTCTCACCTCTCAGGCAAGGATCATTTGGAGGTTCTCGACCTCCCTCCCAGTCACAGATAGTCTTCCGAATTGCCTGAAGGACACTGGAGTGGGTGGGAGAGGGAAAATAGTGCTTAAGCTTGATTTTACTTCAAGATGAGACTATTCACTGCTGTGCACATATGGGAGGAAAAGTATCTGAGGTGGGGACATAAACTGTCGTTACTGGGGAAGTCATGCCCAGAAGTTACCTTGGAAAGGGGTGCTGGCCAAGGCATGTTGGCTGGTTGTATACCCTGAGGTGTATGCAGGGCCACATGCTTATATAGTTCAAATGTGTTACACAAATAGATACATGGGCTTTGCATCACATTCAAGAAGGACAGACTGACCTGATCAGAACGTTCTTCTTCTTCCTGACCGCCTGCCTGAGCGGCTCTCGCAGGGTCACCTGGGCAAAGTCCTGCAGGGCTGCATAGATAGTGTTGCGGATGGCTTGGTTGAAGACACTCTCCATCCGGCCCATCAGCACTTGCAGACCTTTTATCATGGCAATTACCTGAAGCAAAAATTAAAAACAGATGTATTTGCTATTTTTCCATTGTATGAAGAGGTCCATAAATCCAACATTAAGAGAATTTGGGACTAAATTAATTCTACTCAAGTAACTTAGGTCCAGTAATTAGGTGGCTATTTTTTTTGATGTTAGCTGCTTTACAGATCACAACAAGCTGAGGAGAGCACTTACACCATCAGCTTCTTGCAAATGGCCCCTGTCCCTTAGCAGGCTCTATTTCCACTCCTGATCTCTTGGTATTTTTCATAACTCACGATGCCAGGAAACTGCACGTGCCCCACACGTTGGTGCAGCTGTGTGGCTTGCACAGACCTGCATCCACACCAGGGCACAGTCTTCCTTGTACAAGAGTACAGTGACAATTCCCAGGAGGGAGTGAGCCACAGAAATTAAGGCAATATTCAAACCACTTTGGAGTGTGTAAGGCAAGATGAAGGTGTGAGAGTCTCCCACAGCCAGGCTTGGAGGATTATTCCCACTGTCCACAGGCAGCCAGACCAGTCCGGGGGACTGGCTGAGGATCTCCTGTATTTGCACAGTGCCTGAATGTAGCTCCTGATCTTGCTCCAGATCATGCTGCTCTGCAACCCCACACCCTTTTTTTTTGAGGAGCCCTGAACCCCCTTTTTCAGGTCAGGAAAGGCTTAATACAGCAATATTAAGAAAACATAGGGATTCACCTCTGTCTTTCTTCAGCACACAAACACAGCAGAAGAGCAGCAGGATCAAGAAAAGAGAGGAGAATTGCTCTCATCATGCACTGGTGCAGTGTTTCTATCCCAGTTGGAGCTCCTAAGAACTTAATTTTCCCCTTAGTTCTGGGCTAATTAAGAGCCACAGGGATGTGGGAACCCTTAATTCCTTAATGTGCGCCACAGGGATGAGGAACCAGCTGAGCATGGTGAGATGCCCTTCCCTCCTCTTCCCTTGGCCTGAGGAACATGGGCAAGGAAACCAGCCCTGGCTGGTTCTTACTCTTGTGCAGTTGGCACCTACCTCCACAAAGGCAAACTTCTCTTCACTGGTGTAGTTGTACCGGGTGGCTCTCTCATACTCTTCTGCTGTTCCTGGGCAATCCTTGTTACAGAATTTATCTGTGGGATGAACCAGCTTCCAAGAGTACTAGAAGATGGAAAGAGACACTGTCAACACTGCAATGAGTAAGAAACCAGGCTGGAAAGACTGTTTCCCTATGTCAGGAAAACACTCCCCAGACATTACTACAGTTGTTTGACATTCCTTTGGGAGAGGAATTTGTGCTTCTTCCTGCATTTATTATCACTGTACCGAATATTGGTTTTGCTTATTTGGGAGGTTGCCAGTCATACTGGGCTTTTGACATCCACAGACTTGTGTTGAGATGTGACTGAAATTTTCCAAATTAAGAATTTCCATCACCATTTGAATTACAGTTTTAGCTGCTCAAGACCCAGACTCATCCCAAACAGCTTTCAGTACTTTTAACAAGATGTTCAGGTTAGGAGAACAGTCACCCAGTCCCCCTCTAACATTGGTGGGGACGCTGCAAAGGGCAGTTCAGATCCAGAGTGAGATGATCAAGCTCTCTTTCTCCATTTGGTACAGAGGGTGTTTAGAGTCATTAGCTGTCTGATCTTAGCGTGTTTGTTAATGGCTTAAAATGAGGTGGCATGAAAGCAAGCTCACCTTTCCACAGTCTTTGTTACATGCCATGTTCAAATGTCCACGCTCACCTGGGAAGAGGAGGACGTCACGCACTCACTGCTTCCATGGATGCACTCACCACTTCCATGACGTGGGCACTCCACTTGGACAGCAGCTGCAGTCCCCGTAAAGCGAGATCAAAGAGCTCCCTGTATTCTTCATCTGATTTCTGGCTGTCCAGTCCTGAGCCAGTGACCACCTGGAGAACATCACATCACGTCAGGGCTAGACTCGGCAACGTGCTGCAGAGGCTTCACTGACCCAAACAGCAGTCACAGAGCTCTCAAATCCCAGCTGAAATGAATTCCCTGTGACCTTATGATCAAGCTAAAATTGAGCAGTGTATATACTGTCCCACAGGAAAAGGGGGGGGGGTATAACTTGTCAAGGCTCTTTTTACCCAGAGAGTCAATTTATTTCCTACAGAAAAATGCATCTGACCTGTCACCTCAGAGCAAATAACTGACTGTTTCCATTTCACTTTCCCATTCCTTTTTGATGGTCTAATACTACTGAAATCCTTGAGAGTCCTCCATCGATTTAAAGTTCAAATAAGCACTTAAAAATGCCAAAAAGAAATGGGCTGAGAATGCTAACAATTCATTAAACTAACACTGGTGAATGAGGATCACACATTTGCAAAAGACAGTCACAATGGCATCAGAGAGGGCACTGACATTCACTAATGAAAAGAACAGAGATGCCCTCGTGAACTTTCCTCGGAGCCCTGACCAATAGTTCTGTGTAATAGAAAAGACCCATTTGCAAGTCATGGGTGTTCTGCCACCTGGCTGATAACAAACATTTAGTTGCACAATTTTTTCTGCTTCTTATTTTAACAAAGCAGAGACCAAAGAGCAGAAGCTGTTGCAGTAGATCTTCTGGTGCACATGCTTTTGCACCTGCAGGGGCCTTTCATAACTTGCTTTTTATTGCTGGATCGAGAAGTGGTTTGTTCCACTTGTGTCCTTCTTCCCTCCTCATTGTACATCCTTGGCAGACCATACTCCTGCCACACTTACCCTCTCCCAGTCTTGTCCGTCTAATCAGTCTGCTTATGGTGACTACCCGCTGAACTTACCTCGCTGTTGCTGTAGCGAGCGAGCTCCGAGATGAAGCGGATGTGGTCGTCTCGGATCTGGACCATCTGCTCACAGATGTTGTACTGGGGACTTATGCTGCTCTGCGTGCACGTCCACCTGGGCAAAAAAGCAAGGGTTTCAAAGACAGGACATGGGGCTCCACTCAGACACCCCCAGGGACAAAGCCTTGTGCTCAACTGCTCTCTTCACTTCAACATGCTCAAGACATGCCACCTTCAGGACAAATGTCAGCCTGGGTCATATCTCTCATGTTCCCTGGTGTGTGGGGTCTTCCAGAGGTGGTCTCACATAGCATGATGGGGACACTTGGCTCACCTTTCAGCTTGAACATCTCTGCTCCATCGACCCTGAAGGCTGCTCTCCGTGTTGGGCTCACCTACCCCCATGGGCAGAGATGGCTATTTCCCAGGCCACCATTGGACAAGCTTTCAGGGAAGGATGAACTGCAAAGACCCAGCATTCGTTTGCATCCTTTCTGCTAAACCCAAGGATAATCATCCCCTTAGAGGTCATCTCTCCAAATCTGAAACAGCTGGGGTATGCTGCCTTCTCCTGCAAGGAAAGACTCTGCAAGGGGCCAGCAAGGGAACGTCCCTCCCACTCTGGTTTTGGTTCTGGCTCCCACTACCAGCTCAGTGAACAACCCTGAGTGTAAATGACATGCAGAATATGATTAAATGAACTAGATTTTCATTTGCATTGAGCCACATGTACCATGTAACAGTGTAATGACGTCCTAGAAGAAGGCAACACTCCCCTTCCAAAGGCACAGCCATATGAAGAAATGGTGCGAATCAGGTCTATTTAATTTAACATCTCCTTTTTCCCCATTCTGTATTAGCCACAGACGTAGAACCAGAATGGTTCCACCAAAATGCTTCATGCAAGCAAATGTCTGTCAGTGAGACTCACGTGTTACTCGCATCACAATGTGAAAGTTCAGATCTCGCCTTTTTTCCCCCTAAATAATTGTCCGTCTTACGATGGACAGTCATCTTCTCCAATCTAGATTGGCTGTACAAAAAGAAGGTGAGAAACCTGCCTCTGATATGGACATAGACATGAAGACATACTCCTACAGTTAACTGCGAGGCACTTGTTGCCAATATTTGTGGTGGTAGAAGGTCCTAGAAGTGCTAGGCCATGTCATCCCTTGTGAAATCCATCCTCCCACAGTCCCATCGCTCGACTCTTACCCGTTCCAATGTCCTGTGCTCCCCACCGGACAATTGGCAGGTTAGCAGGAATGGCCAGGGCTGCCCCAGCCCGCCCTGCCACACACAACCTAGTCCACAGTGCAGAAACAAAGCGCCATGCAGGAAAAACACCAATTAATTCCACTTTCATGGAGACAAGGAGGGAAAGAAAGTGACAAAAACAATATTAGTAAGAAATGGGGATTATATGGAGCCACCTTGGCAGAGTTAGTGCTGGGAGTCCCATGCAATTTGCTGGGAAAGTGAGTGAGGAAGAAACATTGGTTAGTAACGTACGGCACACAGACCTGGTAAGACAGATTTCAAGACAGACATTAAAACTGCGCACAGGGAAACAGCCCGTGAGTGACCTTGGTTTTGAGATGAGAAAACGAATGCAGCTGGCACGTTTCGTTGAAATGTGCTTTCTGAATGATTTGGGATTAAAAGTTGTAAATTTAAAAAAACCTTTTCCCTTTTGAGTTTTTGAAAATGTTTTTTAAATTTACGTTTTGTGGAATTTTAATATTTTTCCATGTTTCAATTTTAAATGAAACCTTTGGATCAGGAAATTTTGCCACATTGTTTTCAAATTTCTCATGGAAAATTAATCGGCACTTTTCAACCAGCCTTCAGAAAGGCAGGGGAGGGCTGTTCCTGGGTGAGCCACGTGGCGGGCAGAAAAGCCGTACCCTCCAGTGTGGAAGGGGATGAGCAAACAGAAGCGGAGAGATGAGACTGCAGGTTAGTTAGTGCTTGTGCTGTTGAAGATACAGCTCGGCTAGGCTGCTGCTTGCAGATGCCGGTGAAATCGTGACTTCCACGCGATAATAGTCCCACCGACGAAAGGCTGCTCGCTGGTGAAAGCCGGGCTGCCATCAGCCATTACAGCCAGACAGCTCAGACGGGCTTTGCTTAGGTATGGTTGCAAACACCGTTCCGAGGATATCCAAACCTAACACCGATTCTTCTAGCAATATCTGAGCACGATGCAAAGCTACAAAGTGGGGCCTTGCACACGCCTGCTGTGATCTGAAACAACGCCTGCAAATTCATCTGATGGGAGCAGCAAACTGCCTGTGAACCCAGGCTGGGAAGCGGTGCTTTACACTCCGGAGCGCTGCCGTAAAGACTCCGTTTCTGCCCTTCTCCCACAATATTCATTCATTTCCAGTGCATCTGACCTCCTGGTTCATTCAGCCCTCATTCCCGCTGCCCTTCTTCACGAAACCTGCTTGAGCTAGAGGAGTCGCCCTGGCTCCTGCAAAAAGGACCACTGCTGTGTTCATGCTCTGGAGGATTTTGTCCCTGGGATGAAAAATGTGGATTAAAATCCCTCCAGAGCAGGGACACGCTGCTCGCACTCACACACCTCCGGGCGCGCACACCTCGCAAGCACTCAGCGGTCGCTCCCATCTGCATGCCAGCCGCCTTTCCTTCCTCCTGCCTCGCTGTCGGCCACCGAGCACCCTCCCAGCCCTTGCCAGCGGAGCAGACGTACAGGCATGCCCGCTCCCCTGCCTGCACACAGGGGTATGGTTACACGTAGGTGCAGAGCTGGCTGCACACGCACACGCTCAGGGGCCGGTGAGGACATCTTCCCATGCAGGGACAGGGAGGTACACACGTGCACACAGAGCTGGCACGCTGGGACTCACACCTCACAGGGACACACACGGGTACCCGTGCACAGACCTCACACACGCCGGAGACTTGCGGCTCCCACGGCTTTCGGGACACACACAGAAGCCAAGAGACATTATGGCAGGCACTCACTTGGATTTGTTCTCCTCATAGTGAGCACTGGTCTTAATGTATCTGGCCAGTTCTATCTGCATATCGCCGAATAAAGGAACCACCTGCAGCTGCTGGAAAAGAAAACAAAAGATGGTTGAAACACGGCGGAGAGAGAGCCCGTGGCCCCAGCACAACACAAGGGACTATGAAACGGCATCCTGTCTCTCTGAGGCTATGGAAAGTGTCAGGCTGTTTAAAGTAAGGTGCAAACCTGGACCCAGGGTGATTTCACACCTAGGAAGTGACTGAAAATGATCACCAGGCTTTTTGTGCACAGAAGATCACCCCCTGCGAGTGCTCTGGAGCCCTGGACTCACCAAGACCGGGCTGGTTATGGCCAGAACGGTTCAGTGCTGTAACCAGCCAGAGGAAAGGCTCTTTTTACAACAAAAAGAGAGAAGCATCTTCCTGAGCAGGGCTTATCACCGCCCACCATAATCCTCCAAGAGAACAGAGGGATGAAAAGCCAGCATGTTGGAATTTTGGCTGCAAGTTGCTGCTGTTCCCTTCAGAGAGGAGCTGTAGGCTACTTTGCTGCCTGGACTCCCAGGGATATGGCAACTTTCCCCAGGGACTCAGACTGTACTTTGGCACTGCAGCTGCTTATGATGTGTCTTAAAATTTCTCTACAAAGAGAAGGACATAGGCAATATAACATAGCTTTGCTCGCCCTTTACATCTCAGGAGGATTTGGATGGGAAATAAATTCAAAGTGCGCTGAATGTACTTCAAGCTCAGACAGGTCCCTGCTTCACTAAGCTTTAAGTTGCCAACAAAGTTCAACCAAGAGCTACCAACATTTCTTCAATAAAATATGAAGCTTCAACCTCACCCAGCTACCAAAGCTTTGCCCCAAAATTCAGGGAAGATGGTGGCAAATTCCCAGTCCTATTATCACATGCTTCTCTTCTCAGGCTGACTTCTGTGGAAGATGTGTAATGCTGTCATCAGGGATTCCCAATGGCGCTTTCATAAAAGGTCTAAATGAAGGGGTAGTTCATTTTCACTACTCAAATTCCTGGTCAATCCACTAGAAATTTAATCAGACAGCAATAAGCAGATGTAGTAAGAGCAGTAGTTGGCCTTTTCTTATTGAGATCTGATAGTCTAGAGTGCTACTTAACTGATTAGGTGAGACCACAGCAGATGTTGGAGAAGTGCAAATGGAAAAAAAAGCTGGAAAGGAGAAAGTTATTGCATGCAATGGAAGGTATTTTACCTGATTCTCTGATGGCCCACAGCACTTTGCAACGAACAGCAAATCTGTTTGAATGTACCAAGATGACCAAACTCTACAGATTACACTGAGGGCTTGATTTAAACTGAGATTCAGTTGAATTAGCAAAGCTGAACCAGAGAAAACCCAGAAGACTCCAAGGGATGACATGATAAATCACCTTTGCAGAACTACGGTCCTCAGCAGTCTCCCCAGCGACCGCAAGGTATTCAGCCACCTCATTATTGCCCCATCCGTGAGGTTAGTGTCTATCCGTAGTCCTCTATGCCAGCATTTCAGCCTTGCTCTCAGAGCTGTCTCCAGGAGGTGATGCAAGCTGGGGTAAATAGCTCGCCACTCGCTCAGGGTGAGGACGCAGCAGCTGGTACACCAACCTTTCATGAAACCAGCTATCTGGGCTCACCCGTTCCCTCCCCGTGCACAGACCTGGCACGTTATTTATAAACTGCAAGTCGGGGCAATAAGCAGGGAGGCATTCTCTACCCTGTCACCACAACCGACCTCTTCTTTCAGGCTCCTTAGCAGGTCTCTGGGTAAAGTGGCAGAGAGAATCCACTCTGCTGAGAGAGTGACGGGGAAAAAGCACTCTGTGGCCCTCCCAAAAATCATCTTCTCATTTTCCCTGATGTGGAGCAAGTGTTGGTAGCAAAGACTAATCTTTCCATCTCGGGAGAAAGATTAATACCGTGGAGGCAAAAGGACTCTGGAAGGACTGCTCAAGCTCAGTCGGTCAAAAAGAAAACTAATTGCTCCATCTGGGAAGTTATTCTGCTGTCCTCCTGTTATACTGTTATTCTTTGCTGCCAATACATTTGTCCCTTGCCAGATCCCACCGTGCCTCCTAGAGCTGACCTGCCCTAAACCTGAAATGCCTCCTAGACCCAACCTGTGCACAGAAGCAATGGAAAGGAGGTGTCATTTCCCCCTGCGAACGCCTCAGGCGATGCTGTGTGGGCTCTCAGCCCCACTTCTCCATCTGCCACTGGTGGCCAGTGCCACACACACCCCAGATTTTGGGGGGAGCAATGGGGTTATCCCAAACCCAAACCTTTCTCATGCTGAGTGGCCCCAGGGCACTGCAGCCTGGCCTCCAGCTGTGGACCAGCCCACGGCTGGACTCAACTGCACAACTGCATAGGCAGAGGGAGGTTGCATGGCTGCTTCCCACCCTGTCACTGGGAGCATCCAGTAGTTCTCATGGGCCTTTCCCTAAAACCCAGATCTCAGATAAGACAAAAACGGTTCATGAAACTACCGAGTGAGCCTTTTGAAGAACTCGCTGAGCACCTCCAAGGCCCAGCTGACATAAGCTCCCAAAGAAACTTTTTCTGTCCTACAGGGTGCACAGTTTATACACAAAATAAGACTGCCAGATGACATGTTGGCTGGCCATCTGCGTCCTCTGTCCCTCAGCTCAGTAAGGAGGGACAGGGGAGTGCAACCATCACCCACACAGACCTCAGCAAACCAGCCAGGTTTGCCGGTGGCCTGAAATCACGGTGCTCCTCAGAAGACTGCAAACCTGCCTCAGAAACGTGCCAAGAGATAGAAGTGATATCAATCTGATGCACCCTTCCCTCGTCCACAAAACATAGCCCACGCGCCGTCCCCATCCTTTGCCCCTCGTCAGGAAGCACGCAGAGCCGCAGCGGCAGCTGGCTGCCCAGCAAGGGCATGCAGGGTCCTCAGCTCCCACCAGATTCCCAGCTCCAGGGCCATGGGAGCAGAGCCAGCCCCAGGCACTGCTCACCATCCACAGCCTTGCTGGCACAGAGGGCCAGCATCGCTCATCTCACCCATGCTGCAGCTCTGTGCCCGTGCACATTCACAGCAACCCCATTCCTCATCCTTTGGCCTAGATAATTTCTCGACCCTTTGGGTTTTTTGGACCTGTAAATGATTCCTGCGGTTTGTTTTTTGCTGGCAGCACGTGCAATGGTATGGGTCGCTAATTCACTGGTCTGCAATAAACTCCAGCCTCACTCAGACAGGTCACTGACCTTGAAGAATTTGTCTATTTTGCTAAGGTTGATTCTCTTCTTGGCGTCCAACTTGTAAATGTTGCTGACATTCCCATCCATGAGATACAGGCCAAACCCCATCACCTGGAGAAGATGGAAAGGCCAGGTTTCATTAGTGTGAACTCAGCAGCACAAATCAAAGACAATTCTCCATCACTGAGTATGAGGAAAGACCATTTCAGCCTCCTGTACCACATGACACTCATGAAAAGACTGTGTAAAACATGCATGTATCTGCAAGGATGTACATGGTAGACAGAGGACATACAATGGATTGCTTCTGTTTTCTGTGCAAAAACACATGACGCTCACTTTGGTAATTTGTTTCTCCTCTCTCCCACATAACAACAACCCAAAAGTCTTTTCCACCCAAAGGCAAACCTTTACTCCTGGAGAAGTATTGAAAACATTTAAAATATGCTCCTGGATTGATTTTTTTTCCCTTTAATCCAATACAAACCATTACAGATATTCAAACTACCCACATTATCCTTCAAAGAACCTTTTTTGACTCATATCGTGGTAATGAAGTTCTTATGGTAATAGTCACTGCAATCACTGTAATAACTGATTGACAGTAAGGACAAAAATACAAAACAAGCAGATACTTTGGCATGTTCCTCATGAGGGCTCTTTAGAGTCAGGAAACCAAACCTGGAAGGATCTGATCTGCCTTCTGCAGGAAATTATTGCTGGGAATGGGCATCAAGAAGAAAATTGAGGGCTGCAAAGTTGGTGGTGATTTTGGCACATCCTATACAGCTACCCAGGTCAAGCTCACGATCCTGCACATCCATGCACAACAGAAAAATCCCTCCCCACTCTGGAGAGCGCAGGTCACCCACCAGTGCTCTCGTCCACCAGCTGCAGACCACCACCACCATGTGCTCAGTCCCAGGCAGGCAGAGCTGCTGGTAACCTTGGGAAGGATTGGGGGAAAAGGCAGAGATGGAGATGGGGAAGAGCAGAGGAAAGGGAGAGATGAAGGAAGATTTCTATATGGGAATACAGGAGAAGGCCAGAAAGGACAGCAGAGAAATGATGGGAGAAGGTCCAAGCTACAGCGGGAACAGAGGCAGCTCATGACCCTGCCCAACAGAGGTGCCACTTCAGAGCACTGGGGTGGGACATCTCTGACCCAGGGCCACATCCAGTCCGTTCAGCTACAAAGAAGAGGTGAAAATGGGAGGACTGAGGTATCGCAGCAGAAGACACAAAGTAACAGAGTTCAGAAGGGAAACGGGAAGAGGAGGAAGGCAGCTTTGTGCTGCATGCCCAGAGCCTTCCCATCTCATAGCAACTCATGTGTCCAGAGGATGCTGGCTCTGCAGAGAAGGGATGCATGTAGACCCAAAGGAGCAAAAAATAAAGAAAATGAAGAGAAACATTGTCCTGGGAGGGAATTTCATTGTACTAAACCAAAAGTGAAACGACGCAAGCACCCAGCCCCATAAGCATGACCGAACCTCACCTTTAAGAGCATGTGTTTCTCACTGGGAGTGAGGTACATCTTGTTTTCATAGTAATCCACACAGATGTTGACAATATCAGCTAGCAATTCCTCATAGCCAGGGATAACCTCTAGTTGTTGGTGCAGACACTGAAACATCAACAGGGGCCACATTATCCATATGGACAGAAGAACAGCAGAAACCAGGGGAGAAATATTTGAAGGATTAAGAATAGAATGATAAGAGGTTTCTTCAAACCTTGTCTGTGTGCTTTTCTTAAGTTACCGGCAGAAGACTGACCTCATGGTACCACCTGTAAGGAACAACCTTCCTTCTGCAGGTCAGCTCTGCCCTTCAGACTGATCATGACAGCCAAACATCAGACAGTGAGATGTAAAGAAAGATGCCTCAGAAGCAGACTTTCTGACTCTCTCCTGTCTCTGTGCAATATTTTACCTAATTAGCAGAAGCTATAGAGTCTCTGGAGCGTGGAGGGCCATGGGGTCTGATCTGCAGTCCCCATGCAGTCACAGAGATGGACTGAATGGATTTCCTGGGGAAAACAGGGGATGAGGTTCTGACAGAACCTCCCCCTCCAACAGCTCTTCTTGCATCTTTTAGACCTTCATCTTTGTCTTGACATAGAGATGTTCAAAGCCACCCAGGATGACCCATGTGAAGGAGGTACTGCTAGAATTATACAGCCTGACCAAAAGCACATCCAATTTAGTGGCAATGACGCAACAGCTATTGCCACAGTCTGGTCTGAAGTGCTGTCAGCCTTGGCAAGATCATTGCCTCTCTCTGCTCACAGAAAGGTTAAGTAGTTCAGAGAAAAGGGACCTGCCTGTGTGATGCGGTTGTGGTTTGCCAGGAACATGGAGAGGTTCTGGGACTCTTGGATGGACTGAGGGTCTGCCATCTTCCGCAGAAACTGGGCAGCTCTGGAAGGGAGAAATCCAGCGTCACCAAGCATCACTCACCCAATGCGAGACTCTCACCACCCATCTTCCCTGTCTGACCTGCAGCTGCAATGCAGCAGCCTCAGACCTCCCTGCAGTACAGTTTTGCTCTTTCCCCATTTTACCACAAGGGAACCAAAACACAACAGGGCTTAGAGATTTGCCTAAACTCACAAAGAGAGCCTACAACAGCACAGAAACTCAATCTCCAAAGAGTGCAGAAACCCAGCCTCCAGCCTTCTGATGTCCACCTGACCTCACTGCTGGGCAGACCAGGCACAGTCCTGTCCCCACTCCTGCTGCTTTGCCCCCTCTCACCTTTTGTAGGCGGAATGGTCATTTTTGACGCTGCACTTCATGTTCTTCAGCTCATCCAGGACAGCAAACATGTTAATGAACTTGCCCAGCGTGAGGAGATAGGCCTCGGAGACGAAGTCCTTCCTCCGCTCAGCGTGGCACAGGCGCTTCACCTCGCTGCAGAACCGCTCGATAGCCTTGCGCTGGAAGGCAGCGGGACAGCGTCATCCCAGCAGTGGCTCATGCATGGTCATCGCACCATGGCTGGGACACCCCTCCACCCACCCACAGCCTCCTTCCTTTAACAAAAGAATTTTTGTGCTGGGGATGGAGGCTCCAGGGTCCCTCTCTACTGTCACCATGAACGAAGCAGCAGACAAACATCCTCAGTGCTGGAGGGGAGAAGGGGGCTTGAACCCTCTATTTGCACCTGCCACGAGTGCAGCATGGTCTGCAAAATCAGCCCTCAGTTTTTTAGGTGGGGCATAAAGACCTCATAGGACACAAAACCCAAAAATGATGGTGAAACCCAGCTGCAGGCAGTTATAAACGCAGGTCCCTGGAGCCCACAGCAGCTCTGTGTTTGCCACGTGGTCATTGCTCTGTTGGGATCTAAGCATATTATTTTGTCAAGTTCCTCAAGTGTAACAACTGCTACATTTAAGTTTTGGTGCTCTTTGCTGGCTGACCCCGAGTTCAGGGTGCTGTGAGCATGCCTGCTGTCACAGCAGGAGGGTGTCCAGCTGCATGGCTGCATCCTACTCCAGGCACCACCAGCCCTCAGCTCTTCCTGGCTTTGCTTCAGTGGGAAGAGCAGAAGAGTGAGCTGTGCTGGTGTCAGTGGAGAAAACAGCTCTTCACATCCACCAGCCAGCACCCCAGAAAAACAGGAGCCTGTGCCACCCATTAGATCTACACAGTGGGGTCTCTGGTCCTCCATGACCTTCAAGGGCTGAGGTGTGCTTGTTCCCAACCTGTATACAAGATTTTGGGGCTGAGCAAGGGACACACAGATCTTCCTTCAGACAGGTCTCAGGTATTGGCTGGTGGCTGCAAGAAAGAGACCCATCAAGGGGCTCAGCGCCTCTCCAAGCTGGCCTGGCAGGCAAGGATAGCACAGCCCTGCTTAGGATAAGATAACACCAAACTAACAAATTCTTTTTGCCTCTCTCCTTGACCACTTACCTGAAAATACATGAACTTCATAAGCTTGGTGACTTCTGGCTCCAGGACTTCCACTGTCTTCTCATAAATCTCCACTCGGTTTGGCTGTTCATTACATTTCACCTGCATTACAAAGACAAATCATCCTTGTCAGCATCAGTCTCTAAAACAGCTGTGGACTGCAACGGCCACCATCCTCTGCTTGTTTCACAGTGAATCCTGTCCCCACCTGAGGACAACGGAGGGACCCGAGAGGGAGCTTGTTCTCAAGGCAACAGGTGACAGCAGAAGGGGCTACTTCTCAGATGTGAAACTCTCTCCATGCATTATAAAAAGGCATAATCCTGACTCTGAGAAATAAAAGTCTACTAATGCATTTGTCTGGGGTAGAACACATGCGATATGGAGTCTGGACTTGCTACACAACATGGGAATGTTCTATCATAAAGTTACCTGAGACTTTGGGTTAAAAAGTCCCATGGACACACAAGGCACCAGTCTACGGCTCTGCTGTAGCCTCGCAGAGATACTTTTGGTTCTGTTGCCAACTTGTTAAAAATCACTGGACTTGTATGTGGCTAGCAGCAATGAAGTGAGTCACCTTCACTGGAATCCTAGGCAGCTAAATTTAAGGACTTATTCAGTTGTCATCCATCTCATTTCCAAACAGTTACTTGGTGTCATTACCAAACTTTTAAGAAAAACCCCAACTACCCAGGGCAATGCATTCTGCCATCCTCCTCTGGTTTTGTTTCCAGTTGTTACTGATACAAGGCTGTGATGGGGCTGACAGCTGTGGTGCAAATTTAGTAGCGCAGCAGCTGATGCACAGGGCACAAGGGGAAAAATCAGCTGGCTTTACATGTGGGAAGATGCAAAACTAGCTTTGCCCTCTCTGTAGTGGGGAATCTAATGTCCCTGCCCCAGTGTTTCGTACCGCAGTCAGGCAATATTGGTGGCCATCAGGATGCAGGTCGTGGTAGGGAGGAGTGGCGCATGTTTAGGTATAGGCTCTGTTCTTCACCTGTAAAACCATGGTCTCTGATGTAGCACAGGGGGGTGTACATGACCATGCAGCCAGGCTGGGGATTGTAAACAGGACCCCCCGGCCACAGCTGTGTGCCCCACGGCAACGCACAGGGGTCATTGCAAGATCAAATCTGGTGAATCTGTAACTGAACCCTCTGCCATGGTGTTGTCTGCTCCTCCATCATGCAGCACTGTCTGCAGCCCCGGGGGTGGGATGGGGCAGAGAGCAGGGACCCCACAACCTGCTCTCAGAGAGGAGTTGACCACGATGGGAGGACACTAAAACACCAAAACAGATTATCGGTAGCACTGTCTTGCCATCACCTCAGCCACAGCCTGCCTTTTGTCAGCATAGCCAGGAGAGGCAACAGCAGCACAGCATCAAATATAAACGGGACATAAGCAAATATCCAATCAGCAGCAGAAATCTCCCCATGGCTGGGTCTCATGAGACCATCAGCAGAGTATAACCTGCAGGAATTGAGGTCTGACCTCTCCTCGGGAATCACAAACATGGGCATTACCAGCCATGTGGAAATACTTTTCCTGACTCCATGGAAGTGCTGCAAACCCTTTTATCTGCAGGGTTAATGGAAGTACACTGCACCCACCCCAACGCATTGTCGGTCAGCGTTTTTGCAGGGATCCAGCACGTGCTCACATTGCAGAAGACAAGCTCTGAGCTGGAGTCTGAATCACAATCAGCAGGCCATGTGGGCAACCTTACTCATGTCTGTAGGTGTTTGCAGGATGAAGCCACCAAAATTCAGGTTGGAGAGAGAAGGACTAGAAAACGGTTGAAGCAGAACTAGCAGTAGAGGAGGAGAATGGTTAAAGGTGGGAGGAGATCAGGATTCTCAGGAATATCAGCAGCAAAAAAGGGTATTTGGGGAAATGTTTTTGGCATATCGAAGTGCTCCTTCGTGCATCCTTGCACAATACCTACAATTTTGGGGCTCCCGTGGGAGAGTCTGGGCAGCAGTCTGGGATGCTGAAACCTGTTCCAGCTGCCTAATCTGCTCTCTGCAAGTCAGGGAGAGCCTGAATCTGCCACATCTTGAGAGGACTCACTGTTTTCAGCCCAGGCTTCCTGGGCTCCCTACTTCACACCAGAGTCCCACTCAGCACTGGGGCAATTTTTAACTGAAGCTGAAGTTCCTGACACCATGTAATGGCATGATACCATACAATGGTATCAGGAAAGTGTGATATAAACTAGATCTGATGGTTTTACTCTCAAATTCCAAAAACTAACTGCCTTTGCCTGAAGCAAACACCATCTCCCCACAAGATGAAAGAGAAAAATATCCAAGTGGTGCACCTGGAAGGAAATAACCACACTGCTTTAATTAAAGCAAAGGCTACCCATTCTCCAGACAGAGAAGTGGATAAAGACCCAAGTGACAAAACACAGTGCTCTCCCAAGTACAGCGCTGGACCAGAGCTGTGTGCAGCTGAGTCCTGTTAGCGGCTGTAGGACAAACAAGCTGGTCCTGCGGGGATGAAATAAACTTTAGGTGCAACTGCTTTGGGGGGCAGAGGTGGGGCTCGTGAAAACAGGAAACGTATATAAGGCAGTTGGCTTGTGGTGAGTGTGATTGAGCTGAGAGACGCTGCTGGGAGGTGCCAGGGATGGGGCCTTCATATACATGAGGGTGCAGAGTAGATATCCGTTGCTAGAGCAGCAGTATAGATCTGCTTCTGCAATGGCTACCAGCTGCTGGGATCAGTGGTTGAGGCTTTGGTGGGGAGAAGAGGATTTGAAGAGTCAGTGGTCTCTCTTTTCAACCTTTGTATCTGCTTCACTCTTCTCTGCTTTTCTGTTCTTCTGCCTCCAGTCTGAACTAACCCACACTGAAGACAAAACCAACCAGGTGCTATGGGAACATCCCTGCCTGGGAAGGGCTTCAGTACCTGGGGGATGGCTCGTGAGCAGCTCCTCCACGTATAAAGCATCACGGCATACTCGTGGCCTTCTTCCAGCATTTCATTCTGAAAGACAAAGAGGTGTTGCTGGAGCAGGGCACGCACCAAAGGCTGTGCATTGCTGGGGCAGTGCCTGGGGAACTCACCATGCTGGAGTGCACCGTCGCCTGCTCGATGTATCTGGCGATGCCGGTCACAAAGGCATTTCTGTCTTCAAAGTTTGTGTCAAAATTAGCCTATGGGTGAAATGGAGAGATGGGGATAAAAATACAGCCCGTTGTTTGCTCACCTGATACAGTCCAGCGCGGGATGTTTTGGCAAAAAGCAGAATCAGTAGAGCTCCTGGGGCACGGGAGCAACTTATGAACAATTTGAGGTGCTGCACTTCTAGGTCTGAAGTAGATTCATACGTGCAGCCTGAGATGCTTCTGAACCTCACAAGTTCATTAGAGGAAACCCTGCAGATTATATGTGTGAAAATATGGCAATCAAGACTGACAAACCCTTGTAAAATCAAGCCAAACCAGGTGGGGATCAGTTACAGGGAACTGCAGCCACACCAGAGAGCAAACCTACAGCAATTATTCTAAGGATTTTAGTTTAGTAACTGAAAGACAGATGCAGCCTCATTAATTTCTATTTGTGCCCTGGCTGCTAGGGGAAGACCACATCCTGTCAGCAGGA